CCACTTTTCGGTTTAAGACTTTGCGTCGGCTTGGGGGACAACGTGGTGTTATCGTAGTTTATTGTCTTCGCAAGACTTGTCATAGAGATAACTTGCACGGACACGGTAAGAAGAGCACAACACAAACAAAATGTTGGTGTTTGAGGTCGTAGATTAGCGGTTTATTTACCCCTTACAAGACACACAAGTTTTTTTTTGCCTACCCGTCGTGTTTTGACCCCATTTGACGTTTGGAAATGATATACTCTCTTCCCTCGTCGTACATGTGCCGCGTGCCGCATTGGCCCACCGCATTGCCCCACCGGCCTTCACTTTTCCGACCTGCCACCACGCTACCGGCTCGTGTGGCCCCTCGGGACCCCGTGATCCCCGTACCGAATGCCAGGCCTCAAATAACACGTTTGGTATAGGTGCTCAGGGTGTGGATGTAGCGTAGTCCGGGGGTCCCTCAGGACCTTCCTACCCTCACCCCACTCTCTCCCCCTCTATCTCTGTCTCTCTGTGTTTATTACAGTGTGAAGTAGACCTGAGGGTCTTCAAACCGCCCCTCACCCAATGTCTGTATGTGTGTGTGTAGTAGCGAAGGGGATAGGATGGGGTAGGTTGGGTTGGGGTTGCTTGTGTTTGGCTCTGTCGTCCGGTGGAGTAAGGCAGTCTGGGGGATCAGGAGTTAGCGTTGCTCCCCCTCTCCTCCCTCCCCGACAATCGGTGTGCACATTCCAGTAAGGAGAACCGGTTTGGTAAAGCAAGCAAGCAGACTCGATTGAGGTCAGGATCGCAACACAGTCTGCGAATGTCTTTGAGCCGGGCCAAAGTCGAGTGGAGTTGGAAGCGGTTCGGGAGGGGCGCGTGACCATGCAGCGCTGGGGTCGGGGCCGCTCCGCTGCTGCCGCTGCTGCCGCTGCTCTGCACCACGACCATCACCCTGCCTGTTTTCGTTTGCTCGGGGGAGAAGGGGACGGCCGACGTTTGCATCGGAGATGTGATTTAAACTCCGGGGACGTGCGGTCGGGAGTGGGGGCGGCGGGGCAGCGGTCGGGCGGAGGAAGAACAGGGGTGGACGAGCGAGGGGGAGAGGCACTTAGGGTAGGGGCCCAGTGATGTGATAGCCACTGTGCCAGTGATGGCAATTTTTGGAGCCATATTACCGCTAAACACGCAATTTATTTGATACGCCCCCTTTTGCATGTATTTTTGTCATCTGTTAGCAGCACGATTCTTACTGCAAATCCGAGTCCAGTTTTCGAACTATTTCCAGGACTACTTCCTCTTTGCTCTCTTCGCTTTCAAATTTGGGTACCTCGCTTCTGAAGCATAATTTATTATTTGGACTGTGCGGATTACAAGTGACTGCTAGAAGTGAGTGTACACACATTGATAAAACCGCGAATAAAACAAGTGTACAAACTGTGCACTTGCAAAGTAGTGTTCAACTCGAAAGGTGTGCTGTGCACTTGAAAGTGTGCGATGTCACAATGGGTCACAGTAGTGATCACTTCCTTCTATTCATTTATTAGACCGCTTACTGAGTAGGAAGTGTTGTACACTACTTGTCAAGTTTTCCCCTCCCCACTGTTCGTGTTCCTGCTACCTTTGTGTTCTACGCGTAGTACGTTTCGTGGCGTTTACCTTTACACGTCCGGCGTCTCTGTCAAGAGTGAGCGTAGGAGCAATTCTCCATCTCTGCTCCAAAGTGTCGGCCAGCCATCAGCGCGGTCATCTTAATTCCTCCCTGCACAGCACTGCGCCTCCTCGCGCCGAAAAAAGTGTAATCCCTGTAGGAAAAAAACAGAACAGACATTAAGTGGGGGAAAAGTATGGCAGCCGTGTTTCCGCCTGTCGCCATAACGGCTGTTTTATGGAGTCGACGATGCTAGGCGCAGGCGATGAGAAGGCGGGGAGGCGCTGTGAGTTGGTCGGGACAGACACTCCTGTTGATTGGTGGCACTTTTCAAGACATATGTTGTAAACGGGGCTGTGGCGGGGCGTGGCGGGGCGGCTCGGGGTAAAACTTCTCTCGGGGAGAGTTGGTGGTTGCCGGGCCTCCACTGCTATCCCCGCTCACGGTCCCTAGCCACCCGCCGAGCGTCCACCCTCCCCACTCTTAACTCCCTCCTGATATAGGCGCGAACGGCCACAAAACTTGTTCGCAAATTTGCGCGGCGATTCTCCTCGATTTGGCCGTAAGGGAGTGCCGTGTAACCCTTGTGGAAAGTTTTGACGGCGCCCCTTGGTGGTTTCCGCCCCAGGGTAAGCCTGTTTGCTTCCAATCGCTCGCCTCGCGAAGGAAAGAGATTCTGCTCCACTAAACGGCGCAGCAAAACAGCTTCCACTACACGCTACAAGGCGCAAACATAAGTAGTTCCCAAGGAAACACATTTTCCCTCAGTACTTGCCAAAACGAGCTCATACTTATCTTCAAAATGCAAGCAGCGGTTGCCTGACAAAGCCTCTGTGGGACAATGTGTCTCTGAGAAGGGGTTGGCCCGGGTCGCATTGCGGTTCTCTGGTCGCAATGCAGTCCATTACATATCGTGTCTGCTGGTGTCTGGGGCCGACCACTCGGCGCGGACCCGAGCCGAATACGAAGTGAACAGTGCAGCGTATGGCTCGGTATGAAGTTTATCGGCGTGTGTAAAAGAGACCGCCGACACGGCCCCGGCGCTGTGTGGACGCGGGTCACGGGCCGCGCTCTAAAGTCAAGCCGAACATTTGTTGTGCGATCATCCATATCGGACCGGAATTGAGTCATTCGGCGAAACGAGGAAGGCGGAGCGAGACGGCGGCGGGCGTGCGCGGGGGGTCCTTTCACAAGTCTGAAAGATCGGACCAACGTTTGTTTTGTTTATTCTCCTCAGGCCGATAAGGAAAAATGTGGGAGCGATTGACTTTGGGCCGGCGGGGCGCGCGAGGCGAGACCAGCCGCCTGGCGCGACCAGCAACCCCCTCCGCTCCGCCGTTTGCATCCCTCCCTCGCGTTTGTTCTCATAAAGTTTGAGAGCCCCGCCCGGGGTGGGCCGCCCCAGCCTGGCGCTGGCTGCCGCCGCCGCTGCCGCCGCCATACACACCCAGTGGAGCCATTGCCTATCTGTTGGTATCTCTGCCGCCGCTATACACACCCAGTGGAGCCATTGCCTATCTGTAGGTATATCTGCCGCCGCCATACACACCCAGTGGAGCCATTGCCTATCTGCCGGTATCCCTGCTGATGCCATACAAACTCAGTGGAGCCATTGCCTCTCTGCCGGTATTTCTGCTCCGCTGTTTGGGCCGGCCACGCAACAAGCCGCGGTATCGCCGCTTCCCGTCCCGATCCGCACAGAGACAAAGAACAAAAGGGGAAAATATCGCGGGAAACTGAATGTGTTTCACAAAGTGTCGACGCCGCCATTTCTGATTCGTGTTGTGTTTCACAGTGAAAAATATCTTTCTTAATTTACAATAACATTGTATTTCTGTAATATGTTCTAAACTAACGACAGCCCATTCTTGCTCGTCAATGAATTCGTTGTTTTCGAATTCCTCGTTTTTTCCAATTTGAAATCGTACTCCTACAACCTCGCTTACAACGCACCTCATTGGGAATTTTTATGCTGCTTGGCAATAAGTATTTCTCACGGCGTTGTTTCTCTTTTTCCAGTGACGACGGGGGTGGCGGGTGGCCCGAGCCATCCAGCCCTTTCGGAGCGGCGTGACGACATGGGTCGCCCCACCGGCTCCAGTTCCGGCACTACCAGATCCGGCGAGCCCGGCCCCGGCACCAGATCCGGCATCAGCGCCCGGCCCGCATCTCACCACATGGTAAGGACGGCACCGCGGCGCGGGCGCGAACCTTTTTATGGCGTGACTCTGACCAAACACCTTCCCCGCGCGCCCCAGCGGCGCACCCATCCGCCCGCCGCGCTATCCGCACCAATCTCCGGCGCTGCAGCCTCGCTTCATCGCCTGCTATCGCTCACGGTACGGGGGAGGCGCGCGACTTTGCGCTGAGTAAGCGTCGGCTGGCGGGGGCGGCTAGCGGGGGCGCTAGCGGGGCGCCCGGCCTCGGCTCGCTCGTCACCGGGAACATCCGGGGTGTCCGGGCCGGGTCGGGTCCACGGTGCTGGGTATGAAGCGCCCCCCGAGTGGCGCGTGAAGTGACGCAGGGTGCCTTTTTGCGGCGGTAATCTGAACCGCAACCGTGCGACGCGCTGAATAGGTAGGCCGAGTGGGACAAGCCCGTCTCGTGTTACGACAAACCTTTCCCCCGCTCTCTCTCTCAACGCCCCTTTTATTTTGTACATTTTTTCGTACTTTCGGTTGCCCTGACCCGGCTTTTTTTTTACCACTTTTCTATGCGCACGTGCGCCAGCGCACACGCCTTTTTATCCCACCAGTCGCAAAAAAATGGTCCAGTAGGGGCTCTCTTGCCCCACCCCGTCCTCCGCCCACAGCGCGCATACACACGCACCTGTCGTCGCCGGAGTGCGTGTGTAGTTTGTAATTACTTTTCATTTAAATCCGACCGCGCCATATTCCGCCCGCCACCAGCGAGCCCCACCCTGGGGCCGCAGCGTCCTCTGCGGCCAGGCAAGGCCCGGCGCCCGGCTCGGCTGAGCACTTACACAAGCGGACCTTGATTCCTTTTGTTGAGCACTAATGATACTTTATAGTCTGCATTAAACATGAGCGGGCCTAGTCTTGCCCATCCCGGCCTAGCCGAGGCCAGCCGGGCTGTGCAATGCGCTCTTGCCTAACTTACAGGCAAGACCACACCAAAGCCAGACTGACGACGGAGTACAGTCTCAGCGTATTCTTAGAGAACCCTCCAGCAGACCTGGTGAGAGGACCTTATCTCTGCGGTGTGTGGCGTTATCACTGATTTTGACAGATCGCTGACATTATACGGCCGCCCAGTGCCTATTCTGAGAAGCTGGTTAGCTGGATATGCGCAGGTCGCGAATAAGATTTTGTAAACAAACAGCATTAAATGTTAGCCACTATCAGTGCTTGTCAAGTCGAGAGTTAGCCAGCCCGTTGCACATCTGTGCGTTCGTCGGTCTTCCTCGCACGGGTTTGCCCCCTCTCTCTCTTCCCGCCTGAAAGCAAAGGTTCATAATATCTGGTCTGGACAGACCGTATCCAGGCAAAGCGGCACTGTTTACTGCGGCACACTGCACGCATGCAGGCGTTCGTTCGGCCGGGTTGTTTGCTCACGCAAGACCGTAAAGGCAACCTGGTGAGTGACGATACGATGTGCGAGCCCGCCCCACACCCGTGTTTGCGAGAGATGGCAACTTTTTTCATCTTTTGTATAAGCCGCCCATTTTGGCTCGGCGAGATTCAGAGAAAGAACTATGAAATCTCAGTGCTGCAGTGTAGAACATCAACATTTGCAGAAAACGTTTTTCTCGCTCACTGCACATGCATTTTTTAATTCACTGCTTACTCATTTTAGAGTGCATGCTACGCTTACGCATTTTTAGCCCGCTCTTTTGCTTAAAAGCTATATAAGCGGGCTTATGCCATCGCC